CTTAAATATCACCCAGTGTTCAGAAAGTCTAATACTGTTCTGTCCTGGTACAAAACACTTTTAGCAGATGTTAATTTTATTTTGGCTCCTATTGTCTCCTTCCGATCTAGGTTATACTGCTTCTATAACTATTTAAAATCTTTTTGTGCTTTATCCCTACCTTATGAGGTGTTACTTTGTCTAATTTAGAATATCTGCTAATATGATTAATTACAATGTAGAGTACAGAAATAGAAAAAAAATATGTACTGAAAGCCTGAAATCTTGGATTCGTATTTTACTTCTCCAACTTATTCTGTTTAATTCACAAGCAGAATTTTTAAGAATTGTTATAGCTAAGAATAGCTATAACAATCTTGTTTTATACAAGGATACTGTCTAAAGGAGACAAAATTTGTGCTAAAATTCTACAAGACTTAAATATGTCCTAGATGGCATACTTAAGCTACCGCCATTTTGAGACGGTTGGATGATTGGGAAAAATAAACTTAAGCAGAAGGTTTTAGTTCTTCTCTTTCTAACTAGCTAATGCCAGTGCCAGAGTAGTGAATTGTATGTGGCACACACACAATAAATATGCTCTTAAGGAAGCAATGGAGGAAGGAAAAGTGAAAAATAAAAATAAAAAGGCCAAACAAGCAGAATGAGAAGCATCAGCTAATCCAATTCTGCTTCATTCTTTCTACATATGAACTTTAACTCTGAAACTTTACAGAATGTAACTAAATTGGTCTAATAATATATGTAATAGATGATATATATAAACATACATTTAAATAATTTAAATATATAGATATAATTTCAAATCTAATGTTAGTTGGAATGGAAATTAGTGTTTGACCTTCTGACACACCAGCAAAAATTAAAACTAGAATGTATTATTTTTGAACTCTTAAATTGATCAAAAGAGAAAGCAACCAATGTTCCAGCAGACTTTTTTTCATAGTATACATAGACACTGAAAATCGTGTTGCTTACATTACTCAATTGCATTTCATAATCAATTTCAGATATTATTTTCTGCCTAAAATTTCTTAATCTGTCAAATAATAATGTCATAAGCACATTCATAGACAACCTCCCTAGATGGTCACTGTAATAACTGAGTCAGTTTCTTCATTCTCAATTTTGATTGCTTAGAACTATATTTCTTCAGAACAAAAGTAACTAATTTGAAACTATTTTATGTATGAAATGGAAAAGGCCAAAAAGAGTCATCTATAGTTCTTTATTAGTCAGTGACTACTTCTCTAAGCTTCTTTTAAAATGTCAAAACTGTACAGAAGATGATACTTTTGCTTTCTCCCATACCATTTGAATAATGCTAAAAACAATGACATAGTTTGATAAAGTCATGTGATAAAAGTACCTAGTTCAAGGCAATCTGATCCAATTAAAGAAGATTATCAACATAAGAAAAAAAACCTTCAACGTGACACAATTACGTCAACTTGGAAAACTGGGTGTTTCAAAGTAAACAGGAAAAAATGGTAGGAAGCATTCAGTATTTAAAAAGTTATTAATACATGTAAATATGTCTAACGTACTATGGTTTCACTTCTTTCACTAAGATTTAGTGTCTCTCATAAAAGTGAATGCAATAAAATTCTAAAATAAAGAAAACTATGGGCATATATAGGCTTCAGTCACATAATCAAACCTGGAAATTTTGACTTATATTAATTAGGACAGTGTTTGTTTTTGCCGTAAATACTAAATGCTAAAAAAACAGGATTAATAAAATTTTATAATAAAGTAACATGGAAAGACATATGTTCTTTAATATTAGGAATGTTATTAGTTTATTACAATTAGTCTTTGTTTCTTATTCCTTATATCCACAAATACAATATTTAATAGGAGATAGTGCTTCATTTTCCAAGAAAGAGAGTATAAGCATGCTGAACAATAGTAATCATTATAAAAAGAAGCCCAAAAACCTTTCCCTCTGACTATATAAGCAAGAAATAATATGAAATAGTTGCAAAAAACCCCATTTTTTTCCAAAAGGGAAATAAATATGTACTATGAAGTTGAACACAATATATATAAAAGTCACAAAATTATATTATACTCCAGTCTGAAATATTAATTGAATATCTCAACACATTAATGAAAGCAACAGATTTTTCAATTAAAGTGTAAAATAATTCTAAGGATATAGCAGCTGTTTAGAAATACTGAAATAAACATGAGAAATCTAAAAAAAGGAAACCAAAATGTTTATAAACACGTCTCTATATTAATTATGCACTTTATGCATTTTATATCTTTAGTATTATCTTTAGTATTCTACTAAATAGTATTTTTCTTTGAATTTTAAATATTATATTAGAATATATTGTCAACCCAGAAAACCTACCATTATAACATTTTAATATGTATTGATTTTTGAAGAGCAAAAATAAGCAAAAAAATTGACAGCCTTTCCTATAAGATCTGAAACAAGACAAGGCTACCCACTGTCACTATTTTCATTCAGCATAGAACTGAATGGCCTAGCTAGAACCATTAGCAAAGAGAAAGAAATATAGAGTAACCCAATTGGAAAGGAGGAAGTCAAATTGTCCTAGTTTGTAGATGGCATGATCTTACATTAAGAAAAACCTAAAGGCTCTACCAAACAAACAAAAAAACTTCTTAGATTTGATAAACAAATTCAATAAAGTGGAAGGATATCAAATCAATATGCAAAAATCAACAGCATTTTTACACACAAATAGTGAACAATCTAAAAAAGAAATCAGGCAAGCAATCCTATTTCTGATAGCTACAAAAATCAAAACACCTAGAAATCAATATAACTAAAGAGGTGAAAAATCCCTACTATAAAACTATAAAATACTGATAAAAGAAATAGGAGACAAAAAAGATATCCTCTGTTCATGTATTGAAAGAATTAATATTGTTAAAATGTCCATACTGCCCAGAGCAATATACAGATTCAGTGTAACCCCTAGAAAAATACCAATGACATTTGTTACATAGATAGAATAAAAAGATCCTAAAATTTACATAGAAGCACAAAAGACCCTGAATAGCCAAAGCAATCCTGAGAAAAAGAGAAAAGCTGGAAACATCACACTACCTGGCTTCAAAATACATTACAAAGATATAGTAACTAAAACTGCATGATATTAGCATAAAAAGACCACACATAGACCACTGGAACAGAGTGGAGAACCCAAAAATAAATTCATATATTTATAGCCAACTGATTTTGAACAAGTGTCAAGAACACACACTGACAAAAGGATAGTCAATAACTGGTAGTGGGAAGTTTGGATATCTATTGCAGAAAAATGAAACTAGACCCCTACCTTTCACCATATGGAAAAATCAAATCAAAGTAAAGGCCTAGCATAAAATCCAAAACTATAAAGCTAGTAGAAGAAAACACAGGGCTTCAGAACAGTGATTTTGGCAAAGATTTGATGGCTAAGACCTCAAAAGCACAGGCAACAAAAGTAAAAATAAACACATGGGATTATATCAAACTAAAAAGGGTTTGCAGAGCAAAGAAAACAATTAACAGAGTGACAAGACAACCTATAGAATGATAGAAGATATTTTCAAACTATTTGACAAGGGACTAAAATACAGAATACATAAGACAAATCAACAGAAGAATAAAACAAATTTAAAAATGGGCAAATGATCTGAGTTGTCATCTCTCAAAAGAAGACATATAAATGGCCAACAGTTATATGAAAAAATGTTCCACATCATTAATCAACAGGGAAATGCAAATCAAAACCACAATAAGATATTATCTTATCCCAGTTAAAATCGCTATAATTGAAAGAACAAAAAATAAATTCTGTCAAGAATGTAGAGAAAGGGGGACTTTTATACCCTGTTGGTAGGAATGCAAATTAGTACAGCCATTATGGAAAATAGGAGTTTTCTTTAAAAACAACTACTACTAATAATAAACTAATAATAGAACTACCATATGATCCAGCAATTCATTACTGGGTATTTATTTAAAGAAAAGGAAGTCAATATGTTGAAGAGATAGTTGCACTCCTATTCTTACTGCAGCACTGCTCACAATCTAACTGTCAATCAGTTAGTTAGAATCAATCTAATTGTTCACCAATGAATGAATGGATAAACAAAATGTGATATACAAACACAATGGAATATTCAGCCACAAAGAAGAATGAAATCCTGTCATTTGTGGCAACATGACCAAGACTGGAGAACATTATGTTAAGTGAAATAAGTCAGGTATGGAAAGACAAGTACCACATGTTCTCATATGTGAGAGTTTTAAAAGTTGATCTCATAGAATTAATGAATAGAATAATGGTTATCAGGGCAGAGAAGAGTAGTGGAGAGGGGAAGATAAAAATAAGTTGATTAAAGGTACAAAAATACAGTTGCATAGAAGGAATAAATTCTAGTCTTCTATGACATAGTAGGTTGACTATAGTTAATAATTTATTGTGTATTTTAGAATAGCTATATGAGAAGATTTTGAATGTTTTCAAAACAAAGAAATGATAGATGTTTGAGGAATAGTATAGGCCCATTCCCTAATTTGATCAATATACAGTGTATACATGTATAGAAATATATGTACTCTACAAATGCAATTATTATATGTCATTTAAAAATAAAACATAATGAAAATAAATTTTAAAAATACATAACCAAAAAAGAAGGAAATATAATGTAACAACAACAACAAAACTCGGTTTTGTAATTACAATTGATTTAAATTAATTGAGTATATTTGATGCTGAAGAACTGATACTAGAAATAATTTGAATATATTTTAAGCTAAAAAAAAAAAAAAATCTACCCTAAGAAATAATTAGGCTTCCTTATAATCGTCCATCACCTAGTGTATTAATACTGCTATTAGAAATTCAATTATAATTTAGAAAAAAGTGGTTGAATAGAGTACAAATTTAACTTTGCCCAAATCAATGTTCTAATGGCAAAGAGCAGTTAGCATGAACTTTTACCAAGTCCATTTGTAAGTAACTCACCTGATTAGCAATCTGCCGAGCAAGGACATCCATCCTTGATCCTGATTCTGATATCATTTTCGCTGCATAGATCACATCGGTTGTATGCTTTAGTGGTCCTTTGCCTCTGGGAAAAAAATAATATATATATATATATGTTAGCTGTGGTGTTGATGAAAAAATAAATGTTAGCTATGGTGGTTCATGAAAAAATGTATAAATGTATCCATTCATCCATCCACATATGTAAAAGACTTGCATCCCAAAGAACGGCTATTGGTTTTTTGTTTGTTTGTTTTGAGACAGAGTCTCACTCTGTCGCCAAGCTTGAGTGCAGTGGTGCAATCTTGGCTCACTGCAACCTCCGCCTCTTGGGTTCAAGCGATTCTCCAGCCTCTGCCCCTCAAGTAGCTGGGACTACAGACACGTGCCACCATGTCTGGCTAATTTTTGTATTTTTAGTACAGACGGGGTTTCACCATGTTGGCCAGGATGGTCTAGATCTCTTGACCTCTTGATCCGCCCGCCTTGGCCTCCCAAAGTGCTGGGATTACAGGCGTGAGCCACCGGGCCTGGCTGGCTGCTGGTTTTAATATTTTTATTTTGAAAAGAGCACTATTAGACCCCACTATTAAATAATGTTTTTAAATGCCAGCCTATTGTGTTAAGAAATACACCAGAGAAGATGAAGACCTTTTGATCTTCATTCCCAGGTGTTTATTATAGTAAAACTCAACCTAGAGATACCCTTCATAGACCTGGATACCTCAAGACAAAAGTATTTTTCTGATTCTAGGGAGAAACATATTATTTTGGATATTATATGTATCCAACAGTTCATTTTTTATCAGCAGGCCGACTTTTAATATTTCACATTTTTTCTGTTGCTATATTTTAGTGATTTTTTAAAAAAAATTATTGATGGTAAAATTCATTCATTTTTATGGGGTACATGTATTGTTTTGTTATTTATACATGCATAGAATGTGTAATGATTAAGTAATGGTATTTAGGGTATCCATCATGTCAAGTATTATTTCTATTTGTTGAAAATATTTGAAGTCTTCTAGCTATTTTGAAATATTCAATACATTGTTTTTAACTATAGTCATCCTACTCTACTATTGAACATTTGAATTGCTCTTTTAACTGTATGCTTGTTCCCATTAACCAACCTCTCTTATCCCCCCAATTCCCAACAAACACCATGCCAAGCCTCAGATAACTATCATTCTACCTTCTGCCTCCACGGGAGCAATGTTCTTAGCTCTCACATATGGAGGAGAATGTGATATTTGTCTAACTTATTTCACTTAGCGTAATGTCCTCCAGACTCATCCATATTGTTGTAAATGTTAGGATATCATTCGTTTATGGCTGAGTGTTTCATTGTGTGTGTGTGTGTGTGTGTGTGTGTGTGTGTGTGTAAATAAAACCACATTTTATTTATCCATTTATCCATTGATGAACACTTACGTTGATTTCACATCTTTGCTATTGTGAATAATACTACAATAAAATAAGGGTGCAGGTATCCTTTTGATATGCTGTTTTCCTTTTCTTTGGATAAATACTTAAGTGTGAGATTGCTAGATCATACGTTCGTACTACTATTAGTTTTTTGCAAAATCTCCATATTGGTTTCCATAATGGCTGTACTAGTTTACATTCCCATCAACAGTGTGTAAGAGTTCCCTTTTCAACATACCCTTGCCAGCGTCTGTCTTTTTTTTTTTTCCTTTTAATAATAGTAATTCTAAATGGGGTAAAATGATATCTTATTGTAGTTTTGATTTGTGTTTTCATGCTAATTAGTGATGTTGAGCATGTTTTCATATACCTATTGGTCATTTGTCTTCTTTTAAGAAATGTCTATTCATGTCCTTTCCCCGCTTTTTGATGGGATGATTATTTTCTCCTGTTGAGTTTAGTTCCATGTATTCTCTGAACTTTAGGCCCTTATTAGATAAACAGTTTGCAAATATTTTTAAATGTTAAATATTTAAATAATTCAAATATTAAATATTTTCTACTATTTAACAGGCTGTTTACTCTGTTGATTATTTCTTTTGATGTGCAGAAGCTTTTTAGTTTAATATAGCCCCATTTGCCTATTTTTATCTTGCCTGTGCTTTTGAGGTCTTAGCAATAAAATCTTCGTCTAGACCAATGTCCTGAAGCATTTCCCCTATGTTTTCTTCAAGTAGTTTTATAATTTTGGATCTTACATTTAGGTTTTAGCTGATCTTGATTTGATTTTTGTATATGGTGAGAGACAGGGAGCTAGTTTCATTCTTCTGAGTATGATTATCCTGTTTTCCCAGCACCACTTATTGAAGAGCCATCCTTTCCCCAGTGTCTGTTCTTCCCAACTTTGTTGAAAATCAGTTAGTTATAAATGTGTGAATTTATTTCTGGGTTCTTTATTCTGTTCCATTGGTTTATGTGTCTATTTTTATGCTCATACAGTGCTTTCTTTTGGTTATATAGCCTTATGATATGTTTTGAAGCCGGGTAGTATGATGTGTCGTGTCCTTTTTCCTGTTCTTTTCCTCAGTATTGCTTTGGCTATTTGGGGACTTTTGTGGTTCTATTAATATGTAATATTTAGGATTGTTTTTTCTGTTTCTGTGAAGAATGTCATTGCTCTTTTGAAAGAATTCCACTGAAAATGTAGATTTCTTTGGTAGTATGGATATTTTGACAATATTAATTATTCTGATCTATGGGCATGAGATATTTTTTATTTTTTGTGTCTTGTTCAATTTATTTCACCAGTGTTTTATAGTTTTGCTTGTAGAGGTCGTTCCTTGTTTGGTTAAAATTATTCCTAGGTTTTTTTTTTTTGTAGCTCTTTTAAACGGGATTGCCTCTCGATTTTTCACATTGTTCAGACTGATGCATAAAAATGCTATTGATTTTTGTATGTTGATTTAGTATTCTGCAACTTTCTTTAATTTACCAAATCTAAGAGTGTTTTGGTGGAGTATTTAGGTTTTTCTTAATATAAGATAATTTCATTTCATAGAGGGACAATTTGGCTTCCCTTTTTCCAATTTAGATGCCTTTTCTTTCGTTTTCCTGATTGCTCTGGCTGATAACCTTCAGTACTAGAATCTTGAAGGGGAGTTATAAAAGTGGGCATCCTCATCTTGTTCCAGATCTTGATAGAAAGGCTTTCAGCTTTGCCCCAATCAGTATGATGTTAGCTGTGACTTTGTAATATATGGCCTTTATTATATTGGGGTGCGTTCCTTCTAAATCCAGTTTCTTGAGAGTTTTTATCATGAAAAGATCTTGAATTTTATCAGATGCTTTTACTGAGCCTATTGAGATGATCATATTTTTTAATCTTTCATTCTTTTGATATGATGTATCACATTTATTGATTTGTGTATGTTGAATCATCCTTGCATCCCAAGGATAAATCCCACTTGATTAACATGTATTATCTTTTTGGTGTTCTGTTGATTCATTTTGCTAGTATTTTGTTGAGGGTTTTTGTGTCTCATTCATCATGGATATTGACCTGTAGTTTTCTTTCTTTCTTGTATTCTTGTCTGGTTTTGGTATGAAGATAATGCTGCCTCATAAAATGAAATAGGGAGAATTCCCTCCTCTTCAATTTTGTGGAATGGCTTGAGGAAAATCAATGTTAGTTATTCTTTGTAAGTTTGGTAGAATTCAGCAATAAAGGATCCAATTCTAGGCTTCTCTTCATTGGGAGACTTTTTGTTACTGATTCAGTCTATTATGCATTATTGTTCTGTTCAGATTTTCTATTTTTTCCAGACTTGATCTTGGTAGGTTTTATGATCCCAGGAATTTATTCATTTCTCCTATGTTTTCCAGTTTGTAAATGTTAACTGTTAGTAATAGTGGTCTGATTATCTTTTGCATTTCTGTGATGTCAATTGTAATGCCTCCTTTTACATTTGTAATTTTGTTTATTTGGGTATTCTCTCTTTTCCTGGTTAGTCTAGATAGCAAGTTATTTTTTTATCTTTTCACAAAACCAACTTGTTGCTTTATTGATCTTTTTGGGTTTTTTTGGTTTTTTTGGGTTTTTTTTGTTTTTTTTTTAGTCTCTGTATCATTTAGTTCTGCTCTGATCTTTATTACTTCTTTGCACTAATTCTGGATTTAGTTTGTTCTTGCTTTCCTAATTCCTTGATGTGTGCATCATTAGATTGTTTATGTGAAACATTTCTACTTTTCTATTGTAGCAATTTATTGTTATGAACTTCCCTCTTAGCACTGCTTTTGCTCTAACCTATAGGTTTTGGTATATTGTAATTTGATTTTCATTTTTTCAGAAACTTGTTTGATTTCCTGCTTAATATCTTCATTGACTTGATGGTTGTCTAGGAGATTGTTGTTTAATTTCTATGTATTTGTACAATTCCAAAATTCCTCTTTTTATTGATTTCTAGTTTTATTTGATTGTGGCATAAGAGGATACTTGGTATGCTATTAACTTTTAAAAAAATTTGTTAAGATTTGCTTTGTGGCCTGACATATGGTCAATCCTACATAATGTCTATGTGCTTATGGGAAAAATATATATTCTATGACTCTTCAATAAAATGCTCTGTAGATTGGCCTCTTAGGTCAATATGGTCTAAACTGCAGTTTAAATACAATGTTTCTTTTTAAATTTTCTCTCTAGATGATCTCTCTAATGCTAAGAGTTGAGTGTTGAAGTCTCAATTATTATTGCATTGGAGTACATCTCTCCCTTTTGATGTAATAATATTTCCTTCATATATCTGGATGATTTCATATTGGGTGCATATGTATTTATAATTTTTATATCCTCTTGCTGGATTTATCCCTTTATCTTTAATATAATGACCTTCATTGTCTCTTTTTTACTGTTTTTGACTTAAATATGTTTTTATCAGATATAAATAGAGATACTTATGCTCACTTTTGGTTTGTTTGAACAAAATATCTTTTTCAATCCCTTTACTTTCATTCTATATGTCTTTACAAGTTAAGTGAGTTTCTTGGAGGCAGTAGAGAGTTGGGTCATGTGGTCCTTGTTTTTGGTTTTCAAATCCATTCAGCCCATCTCTATCTTTTTTTTTTTTTTTTAGATGGAGTCTTGTTCTGTCACCCAGGCTG